TGCTTGGTGCGGAGCTCGTGCGCGTGCGCTATGCCGTGTGCGTGTGTGCGCGAGCTCTCCGTGCTTGTGTGCGGTACTTGCGGCTAAGCTAAACTATGATTAACTTTCTATGAACTCTCTATAAAATGAGGCTTAAATGATGCTTAAGGAAAGGAATTTCTCCCCAACACTTAAGCATATATATACATGGCCGAATGAAGGGTGAAGAGGTGGGGAAAATTATTAACCAATGATCTTGCTCCATTTGCAAAGCTTAGAGCTTAATTGCACAATACTTAGCTTAGTCATCACAAACACTACATTAGTCATCACTTAAGCGTTAATAGTGAGCCACCTCATGCTTAATAATGCATGTTAATTTACCATGAATTTTCTCCAAATCCTCACGGCATTAATGGTTTAAAAGGTAGGATTTGGCATAATTAATTCTTTAATTAAGCCCATTAACATGCTTAATGTATGGTTTATTTGATTAAGCTTGGTACTTAAATACCAAAATTAATCCGAACGTAAACCTGACTGTGAAAATAATTTCGAAGAATCTTGACTTGGACGATAATCCGAATATTGATATTTCGAATAATTCGTCAACTTAACTTATTAATTCTGAACGGAGTAACGTCCATTCATAAATAAACGGACGGAGATTAATTATTATCGATGACTCGGTTAATAAATAAAATTAACCGAATATATATTCGACTTAACGCCGAACCTGGAATTTAACTGACTGAATAACATGGACTTGAACATTAACATGAATATTTATTAACAAAGACTAGCTTTTACTCGAAAGCTAGTATTTTCTTTTATTAATAAAATACGGGGCATTACAATCCACCCCCCTTAAAATATTTCCGTCCTTGGAAATACTAAAACTGGAATGTACAAGCTTAACATAAAGCTTATACTTACCGATGACATAACTTGGAAATTCAGTATTTAAATACTGAACATTAGACTTGATCTTAACTGGGGAGTCCTCAATTCACAATTAAGTGAATTATTGATTAATGCTGGCTGAGAATGGACACTTTACTGAATAAAGTGCTCCACTGATTATACATGACATTAAAAGCATAATACTTGAACGTACTAGTCATCACCTCCTGGCTGATTGCTGATCTTTGGTCTGAACGTTGGTTGTGAAACCCAAGTTGTTGGTACACATGGAAAATTTCAGAGATACGCACATGTACAAATGAGGATAACTAGGAATATCGGTAATTACCTTTTGTGAACATCTACTCGATAACGTGACACATCGTTCGTGGCACATTGTAATGCGGCACACCTGCTCCTCATCAAGTGAGTGCGGCACGCCTGCATACAGCACCTGGCGAACATTGCACCTGCGTCGCCGACGTAGTCTGTGTAACTGATCATATCTGTACCTCAACTAGTAACCTTAATGTACTATAATGCTAACTCTCTGTGATTTCCCAGTGTACTGTGACTCAGGCATCGCATCATTCTCTTCTTGCGATATACGTCCTTGAATGGAAAGCTCCGGTTGTCTCCACGCCATTGGTTGTTGCTGTGGTTGATTGGTTATTCTCCATCACGAACGAAAGATGTGTCGAACATCGCCATAATGTACCTGCAAATTCTTACCTTCCCTGAGGTTTAACATAACCTCAAGAAAAGTCTATCATGAACTAATCTTTCCTGCGATTTCTCATTTTTTCTAAATTTGAGAATCGAGGCACTGGACATACTTGAAATGACAGATAAGTCTTGTCTTATTAGACAGACTATCCTAAACGATGACATGACTATCCTCAATGATGACATAACTGAATAACCCTGACTTGACTTTTACATGACTGAATCACCTTATCTTCAACTCTGAAAGCTATCCCGAGACAATTAAAATAGTCATCTCGAAATTTGGAACATGATATTTACTAACTTACTGTGGCTTGATAAGGTACGACTTCAAGTTTCCAGGTCAATTTGGATTACTGACTTGTATATCAATCCTCCTTCTTTAACCCGGCTTGACAACTATTATACGTCGACCTTAACACATGAACATTGTCTTTGAATCGTGAACATTGACTCATGACTATGTACTGTATAGGGCTGCTCCAGTAACAACTGGTCCCGCAAGTACAAAAGGAATAACTGATTTTGAATTTTGAAAACCATAACTTGGAATGTCATGATTGGTAAAATACATGACATGACTGACTTTAAAGGTTGTTATTACATGAAATCATACTGTTCCGGTCCCAGCTTCAAGCCTCCATGGTTTACCCGACTATGTGGCTCTTATTTCAAGCCTCCATGGTAACCCATAATATTGACTCTTATACACTGGAAACCGTTACTTTGATAATGGCTTGGAATATATAACAACCTTTAGCATGAAAATCTCGCCCTGAACTTGATTTACTGACCTGACTTAGGAAAATTGAGCTTATTCCCTGATCTATCTCAAGGAATTCTTTCTTGGAATGTGCCAACTGGTTGGCAAAATGAACAAATTTCTGATAGAAAATGTCTGAGGAATATGATCACTAAGATTTGTATAACGCAAGTGTTTACAAATCTCCTGACAAGTTGCTAACTTGACTTGAATATATCTAGAATTGAATCTAGAGTTTTTCAACTTAGCCCCTTTCTAAAGTTTTGAATTCTGATTCGAACATCTTTACTGATAACATTTGGAAGCTGATCAGTAAAGCGCACAAATTTCTTGATGAGTTGCTAAACCTGACTGGGGAAGTACTGACATTAAATCCTGAGTATACTGACTACTGACCCTGAACATGATTCGAGCATTTTAACTTAATCGTAACTGTGATTTTTTTGAGCATAGACATAGTAATTTGTTTATAATTGAAAACATGAATCAGCACTTACCTATAGTCGATGAGGCGTGAGCGTGACGTGTTCAGG